GATAACGAATAAACGTATTGAATAAATTCGATTTATTTTGATTACGTGAGTAGAGACTAATTTTGTTATTTCTTATTCATGAATGAATGATAATTCAATGTAACTTTCATCTAACAGCTTTCTATTATACCGACGTTATAGCGACAGTATCGATACATTTGTTCACGACGACGATCGGCCGTTATATTCGAAGCTGTCGCTCACGCTGTCGCGCGACCGGTCTATACGTGCTCTCATTGGTCAGTGTTTTTCATTAATAATTCAAAAACTAAGCTTTAACCAGCATTTTGGTAAAGGAAAAAGTTGTTCAGAATCACTTCAGCTACCACCCCCTAAAATTATGCCCACCAGTAGCCGAACACCCTGTATTTTCCTAGGTCTGCCCGATTTTCCTGTCCTTTCAATTCGTGGACGTCCTCTTCTTTTAATTGAAGCTCCCTGGTCAATTTGATCCTGATTCATTGACAGCTCTTCTTCCTCCTGTTGAGCAGAATCCTCCCGTGATTCTTTAATTATTTCCATTGGGCAAAATTCAGGTTGCTGCTGCCCTTCGTTTGCGACAATATTCTGTTCTTCAATGAATCGTACATCTCTTTCAATTATTACCATTTTTGTTCCTTGTTCCCATAAACGGTAAGCCTTAGACTCGGTAAAGTGTCCCACCAACACATATTCTTTTCCTCTTGGCTCAAATTTGTGTCCTTTCCTAGGACCCTTTTTGAGTGCTATTACTCGACTTCCTATTTTCCTCAAAAATCCTATGTACGGTTTTTGTCCAGTCCATTCTTCATATGGCGTTGTATCTTGATTTATTTTTGTTGGGCACCTATTTCTTAAGTAAACGGAAGTATTTATGGCTTTGACCCACAGGGCATTTGTTAATTTACCCTGTAATATCAGGCAACGTGCCATTTCCACCATGGCATGATTTCGTTTATTTGATTCGCTACTTGTTTTATGCGTATCGTTTGACCTATTATGGGATTTAGAATAGCAATTTTTTGCGCTATGGCCATACCTGTTGCAATTATAACAATTTCCTTGAAATTCACGTGACATCTCCTGTGTATTCCTTGTCCTGTTGGTGTATTTTGGATATGTCGAAAAACCTTTATTTGTGTCTGTTGTCTTTAGTCCTGTTTCTTTGTTTTCTTCTTCATCATTATTACTTCTTCGTATTTTCTCTTCCATTGGTTTGACCTTCAATTCATCCATTGTTGGTAATAATTCCCTAGATTCTATTGCTACGCAAAAAGTTTCGTATTCTTTAGACAACAAATTTAATAACATTATCGGTATTACTTCATCTGGAAGTCTTATTCAGGCCTTATTTAATTTTTGTACCGCATGAGTAAATTCATTTACATAATCCGTCATAGATATATCCATGTCCTTTTTCATACGATACAGTCGCTTGAACAGTAAGTATTATTTTATCGGTCCCTTAGACGCATAAATTTTCTTTAACGTTTCCCAAGCGTCGAAAGAGGTACTCACGTTGTCGAGATGTGTATATTGATCGGTTTGAACGCACAGCATAATCAGATCCAAGGCCTTACCATCTCTAATATCCCACGCTGCACTGTTTTCTTGGGTTTTTATTATGTCCCTTGTTACATATCCCCATAAGTCATTATATCGTAAAAGGAAATTCATCTGAACTTTCCAAGTTTCATAATTTGCGTTCTTCAGCTCCTTCACGTGTTGCACGTTCAAAATGTTGGCGGCCATCCTTTTCTTTTGATTTTTAACGAAGCACGTGTTCACAGGGCTATTTTTCCTATTTTATTTAATTATATTGGTTTCGCGCACTAGAACCGTTCTCTGGGCCCATAACCTGTTGCGATTTATTGTATTTTATTATAAAACTCAAAAGAACATATTACGATTACGACCGATTATATGAAACATTTTCGACGCTCTGTTCCACGCGGTCGCTTCGCACGCACAGATACGTTTGTGAACAACCGCGAATCGGTTCCGACTCGGTACGAACTCCTCCGAATCTTCCCGAATGCACACGAGGCATGCAGTTGTATTTCCAACATTGACGAAATTAGAAAAAATATTTTAAAATAGTCCAATCTTTCACGAATGAAATAAAAAAGAATTTAGCTAAATCGGTTGCGCAGTTTCTGAAAAAAAAATTCGTAAATAAAGCCTATTTTCGCAAAAATGAGCAAAAATTACAAACTTTAAAGACTTGTTATGTATTCATTAAATTCGAAACCGGCAAAATGATGACTTAAACCTCCCCCAATTTCACATGGACGATAACATATTTTGATTAGAGCAAAGTCGCAGATGTTAACATCTAAAAATGATCGATTTGGCGTGGAATGACCCTATACTTTATTAATACACCTGAATATTAAAATAGAGCAGCTGTTACATTCTTGTGCTGCGTAACACAATATTCTTTGGTCAAGTCACAAAATATTCTTTAACTAAACATGTTCGAATTTAAGAATTTTTTAAGATCTTAGCTTTCTATTTCCGTCTGCCTAACTGTTAACTAAGATATTTAACATGTTATTGATTATATACCTTTTTCAGAAACTAAAGGGACTCTGACGTGTATATTATATTTTCAAAATTTTAGATTTTATTATATGCGTAATATATCATATATTTCTCCGCTCTAAAAACCATAGTCGAAGTAACGCTCTTCCTTTCATACTCAGCAATTTATGACCTGCTTCTGTTTAACATTTCTATCTTGTTCTACTCTATTTCCATCTTGTGTCGCATTATTTACAATGTCTTTGAAATTCTTCAATAAACACCAACCGTTGATGTATGACAACTATTCTGGAATATTCTAACGAGTATATAAAAGGAATGTTTTAACTCTAACTTTAATTTTAAATATTGATTGCAATTTTAATAGCAAAAGTACAATTATATTTCAGATAAATAAAAACATAGCATATGATGTTAACGAATTATTAAAAGAATGTATATGTATACATACATATGCTTGTACATTCTTTCCGAATGTCCTGTGGAGGTTGAGGCCGTTGTAACCTCTTTCACTTTTTGCGTCATAATACGTTGACCCTTAACAATGAGAGGAAAATAAATAAAAGGAAAAAAGGCAAGCTTGAAACTAAGAACTCACATATATAACTGTTATACGAAGTCTTAATTAATCGCGAGCTTGAGTGCGAAAACTTTGACATATGATTAGTAAAAATGTTGCCAATTGGTAACGATCAGTCCTGGCCACGATCATTCAATGCGTAGCCACCATCGAAAATCAATTATTTATCGATGTACAATTGCAAAACGTGTGCCGGTATAGCCCTGTTATCGTTAAAGCAGAAATTGGATATGTCTTATAATAGGTAGCAGACTCCGTAATTACGTTAAAAAACTGGTTTTATCCATCCTTTTTGCTTTTTTTAATCAGGAATCGTTATCAATGAAAAACTAAAGAAAAAGAAAAAGAAATGCGAAGAAGAAAATGTGAAGATATTTGAAGTGCCCGCGTAACGCGAGTCCTTTTTCTACAACCGCGTTCGTCTTTTGTCCCCCTTCTCTTTCCGGTACGTTTGAGAGAGCACGTTGTAATCCTGTGTATCGCGCGTGGTTTTTGTATCACGGAATATGTCCAATATATTAATATAGTTATTAATACTTCCTATCGCTGTGTTTCTCCTGCCCACATCCCCAAACTCAACAGGTTATGGGCCCAGGAGCGAAGTAAGTGTAGCAAATAGATAAAAAAGAAAAAAAAGAAAAGTGAGGTTAGAAGTGACCAGCCACCACGTATCGCCATGAGCATCGCAAATATGCAACAAATCGAGAAATTAGGAGATGGTAACTATGAATCATGGAAAATTCAAATGAAAAGTATTTTGCGATACAATGAGTTATGGGATTACGTAAATGGGATGATTATTAAGACAGAAAACGGAAAAAGCGCTAGATTTAATTATATTGAGTTTGCAGAAAATACAGTACAATCACATTAAAAAGGCTGAAACTTCACTGGAAGCATGGGAAGCATTGAAAAAGGTGTATGAGTCACAGGGACCCATGAGGTAGTGCATTTTATTTAAACAATTATATACAGAGAAACCAGACCATGGCACAGTATGTAGATGATTTTGTACACAAGGTAGAACAACTTACAGAAGCAGGCATCAAATTACCTGAAACAGTTATACCGATAATGTTGTTAACTTCCTTATCATCTGAGTATGAGACATTCTGTATAGCCATTGAGTCAAGAGAAATAATGCCCACTCTAGATGAACTTAAGGTAAAGTTACTTGAGGAGGAAATTCGAAAGGCAGATAACGATTTATTGAAAGACGTTGACAAAGAGACGGCTTTACTATCAAACAAGAGAACGTTTCAAGAGAAGAAACCGCAGAAGCAACCCTTCCAAAAGCATAGGCCTGAGTATACTCACAATAGGAAATATAATGATAAGTGTTTTATATGTGGTAAAGCAGGACATTTAGCCAGATTTTGTAAGAGCAAGCAGAAGGTTGTTACATCAAAAAACAACACAGAAGAGGCAATGTTTGCAAGTGCATTCAACAGTGGTCCTAGTACATCAGGTGATTGGTATCTAGACAGCAGAGCAACTGCACACATGTGCAATGACAAAAAGATGTTTGAAACCCTCAATGAAGAACGCAAGGAAAAGGTATATACAGCCACGGATAGCAGCACTTGGTCCCTAGGTAAAGGAGAAGTAAAACTAAGCCTCGATTCAAAGAACAAACAGGTCAGTAACATTAAATTATTGGACGTAATGTGGGTACCAGAATTTAGAAGTAATCTAATGTCAGTCCCTAGCATAGCTAAAAATGGATATAGCGTAACATTTAAAGGAGAATGAGCTGTTATAAAGCGAAAGGATGGAACTGTAGTACTAATAGCACAGAAACAAAATGATTTGTATATTGTTAAGCCCTCAAGTATGCAACAAGGCATGTTAACAGAAAAACCAGATGACAGAATGGTGAGGTGGCATCAGAGATTAGGCCATCTAAACTTTAAGGATGTGAGGAAAATGTATAATAAAGGCATGGTAAATGGAATGCAGATGCTTGACCATGCTACCCTGAATGAATCAAGATGTGAGGTATGTGATCTCAGTAAAATTCATCAATTACCATACTCGTGTTCAAATGACATAGAGAACGACACATTAGCGCTAGTACATACGGACATATGTGGTCCTATGAAAACATCATCCTTAGGGGGAGCAAGGTATTTTGCGACCTTCATTGATGACAAAACAAAATATACAGAAGTAGTCATTTTGAAGGAGAAATCCGAAAAATTTAACGCCTTCAAAGTATATAAAGCTCGTGTCGAAAAGCAAACTGGTAAACCGATAAGAAAGATACGCAGTGACAATGCGAGAGAATATCTCTCAAAAGAATTTACTGAGTACCTGGAAAAAGAAGGGATAGTACGCCAGTTATCAACTCCGTATACGCCTCAGCAAAATGGAGCGGCGGAACGCGTCAATAGGACGATTGTGGAAATGGCACGTACAATGTTGATACAATCAAAATTACCTATGAGCCTATGGGCAGAAGCTGTAAATGCGGCTGTTTTCATAAGGAATAGATATCCAACTGGAAAATTGAAAGATTCGACATCATTTGAAGAATGGACAGGACGAAAACCGTGCGTTGGTTTCCTGAGAATCTTTGGAAGCAAAGCAATCGCTTTGGGAAAGCATAGGAGAGTGAACAAATTTATGCCAAAGGGTAAGGAATACATACTAGTAGGATATTCACAAACGTCTAAAGCGTATAGGTTATGGGAACGTGGAACAAGAAACGTTGTGGTGAGAAGAGACGTCCGATTTCACGAAAACATTGAATACCACACAACAGAAAATGAAGATATGTTCGTAGTTCCGACCGAAAATGAGTTTAATACCACTGCAAGAGATGAAGAAAAGGAAGTGGAAGAAGACTATGAAGAAGAGTCAGATGAGAATGTTTCGGAACATGATACCTTGGCAGAAGAAGCTACGCTTGAAGAAACTATGGATGAAAATGAAATGCCAATCAGCAGAACAAGAGGTCGTCCGAATTTAATACGAACCGGAAAAAGAGGTAGGCCAAGGAAATTATTCCATCATATAGCAAATTTTAGCCAGTTACAGGTGATAGAGCCAAAAACGGTTTCCCAAGCCATGAAGAGCGATCAATGTCAGTTGTGACTAGCCGCCATGAAACAAGAGTATGAATCTCTCATGAAAAATGGAACATGGGAACTAGTGGATAAGCCAAAAAATTCAAAGATACTCACTAACAGATGGGTGTTTAAAGTTAAGCAGAATCAATATGGTACCATAAACAAATTTAAAGCAAGGCTTGTAGCTCGTGGTAATGAGCAAAAGCAGGGTATCGACTTCGACGAGGTTTTCGCACTCGTTGCTCGTTATGAAATAATTCGAACTTTGCTAGCAGCAGCAGTAGAGCACAGAATGCATGTGCATCACATCGACGTCATTTCTGCGTATGTACAGGGTGATCTGACGGATACCATCTATATGCACCAACCTGAGATGTTTGTAAAATCAGGAAAAGAAGACAAAGTCTGTAAATTGAATAGACCATTATATGGGCTGAAGCAGGCAGGTAGGAACTGGTATCAAACTTTGAATAATTACTTGACAACCATTGGTTTAAAGAGATCACCGATTAATCCATGTGTATATACGAAAAAAGTAAATAATACAGGCATCATAATATTGGTTTATGTTGATGACATATTGATAGCGGCAAAGGATTTAGAAGAATTAGAGAAAGTCAAGAAATTAATACAGAAGAAATTTAAAATTAATGACTTAGGAAAAGTGACAAATATCCTCGGCATACATGTCAACAGAGAAGGCAATACAGGAAGCATCAAACCGAATCAACGGAAATACATAGAGGAAACTTTAGAAAAGTTTGGGATGAAAAATTGCAAGCCAACGTCTACGCCTTTGATACCAGGCGAAACATTCGATCACGAAGCTATAAATGAACAAGAACAAACTGAAGCGCCATATAGAGAACTCATAGGAGCTCTTATATACATATCAAATGCGACGCGACCTGATATAGCGTTCGCTGCGAATGCTCTAAGTCAATTCAATGGAAAAACGAATAATTACTACTGGAAGGCGGCGAAGCATGTTCTAAGGTATTTAAAAGGTACTATTAATTATAGTATAAAGTATTCTGTTTCAAGTGAACCGGTAAAAATATATGTTGACTCGGACTGGGCGGCTGATGGAAGAGAGAGAAGATCACGATCCGGTTATGTTTCCATGCTAGCCAACGGCCCTATCAGCTGGCAATCCCAAAAGCAAAAATCGGTCGCTTTATCTACTATGGAGGCAGAATACATGGCAATGTCCGAGACAGCCAAAGAAGCAATTTATTTAAAAAGATTATTAGCGTATATGAACTTTAATGATTTAGTTTGCGGAAAATTAGATATATTTTGTGATAATCAGAGCGCTATTCAGTTAAGCAAAAATAATACGTATCACAGTAGAAGCCGTATCACCGTAGAAGCAAACACATAGACATACGATATCACTACACTAGGGAGATGCAGGAAATGGGTGAGATAAGCATGCAATATGTGAGCACAAATGAAATGATGGCAGATATATTAACTAAATCTCTTCCAAAGATTAAATTAGAAAAATGCGTCCAAATGTTAAATTTAAGAGACTAGTGTACGATTATAAAGTATAAGTTTTAGTAAAAACAGACCAAAGATGTTTATATATAAGATATGAATTCATAGAGCACTTCGAAAGGGGGAGTGTTAAGATATTCGAAGTGCCCGCGTAACGCGAGTCCTTTTTCTGCAACCGCGTTCGTCTTTTGTCCCCCTTCTCTTTCCGGTACGTTTGAGAGAGCACGTTGTAATCCTGTGTATCGCGCGTGGTTTTTGTATCACGGAATATGTCCAATATATTAATATAGTTATTAATACTTCCTATCGCTGTGTTTCTCCTGCCCACATCCCCAAACTCAACAGATAAAATAATTTTAAGAAAAAAAATACACCGACTTCGAAATGCACTAAAAAGTATAAAATAATTTCTATTTCATTCAATCATACAATTACGTCACAGATATGAATGAAACCTATTTACTCGTTAGGTAGTGTATTAAATACATTTCAACCTTTTCGGAGGCGGCGCAAAATTAAAAGATCTTCTTGAACATGTCAACCTTTGGACAGCCGAACATAGGCAAAGCTTGTATAGCTATTTTTTTT